AGTCCACATCAAAAAAATCTTAAAAAAAAAAAAAAGAAGAGGAAAAAGCATGTTTAGAATGAAAGTAAAGGCTATTAAGTGGTTCAGGGTGCAGGAGCAGTTTAAGAGGAATGGTGCTGTTATTTATTTTTTTAATTTACTTGATAGAAGTATAGTTGATTTACAATGTTGTGTTAATTTCTGCTGTACAGCACAGTGATTCAGTTATACATATATGCATTCTTTTTCGTATTCTTTTCCATTATGATTTATCACAGGATACTGAATATATGGGTGCTGTTATTTAGATTTGATTTTGATCAGCATGCCGAGACAGACACCTACTACCCCTTTCAGTGTACTTTTTTTTTTTTTAATTTATTTTTGGCTGCGTTGGGTCTTCATTGCTGCACACAGGCTTTCTCTAGTTGCAGTGAGCAGGGGCTACTCTTTGTTGTGGTGCACGGGCTTCTCATTGCGGTGGCCTCTCCTGTCGCGGAGCACGGCCTCTAGGCGCATGGGCTTCAGTAGTTGTGGCTCGCGGGCTCTAGAGCGCAGGCTCAGTAGTTGTGGCGCACGGGCTTAGTTGCTCCGCAGCATGTGGGATCTTCCCAGAACGGGGCTCGAACCCGTGTCCCCGCATTGGCAGGCGGATTCCCAACCATGGCGCCACCAGGGAAGTCCTTAGTTTACTTTTAAAGCCATGTAATGTCACAGCCTAAGATTTAGTGTTCCCAAAAAGGAAAATATGTCCAATAGCACAGCACTTCCAAATTGTTGGGCATGCCTTGGACTGAATTCTCGTATATTATATTACCAACCTGTTCCATTCTGCTTCAGTAAGGATCAGCCCTGGTCTTAACATTTTTTTAAGTATTTGAGAGATTTAGCTGAAACTGCTGCCTTTAAGGGAAATCTTACATAATTTATTTCTACTTCAGCCTCAGGAATTGTCAAAACAAGAAAATACATACTTTCACATTTGATTATTAGCCCTATATTTGTTTACGTATTTATTTATTTATCAATCTATTTCAATAAGAGACTCTTAAAAGACACAGGTTTGGATGATCTAAAGGATTTCTCTGTTTTTGGAGTAGATTTTGCTGTCTCCTCTTGATAATTAATTTGCCTTCTCAAAAATAACCATAATTTCTTTGTGAACAAGGTAATGTTTTTCTGAATTTGTATTGCAGTTTACAGCTAACCTGTTGCTTTTTTTCCCTGAGTCTCTCAAAATAATACTGAAAAGAATCAATCCATTTTAAACTATTTAATCCATTTTAAACTAAACTAAACTAAACTTATCAAGCATATACCCACGATGATAAGTGATAACTAAATCATAGGAAGAAAAACTGTGGTTTCTGCTTGGGTTGTTGGTCTTCTCTTTCTTACTGCATATACCTAGATCAGTCTTCCACTTCCTGTAAATTAGAGTTCAAGCTTTACATCTTTTAAGCAAAGAGGAATGAATATATACTTTTTATTTTTACACCCAAACAGTTGCCCCTGATGACCCCAGCAGAAAAATAGATGGCGATACCATTATTTTTTCGAACGTTCAAGAAAGATCAAGTGCGGTGTATCAGTGTAATGCCTCTAACGAATATGGATATTTACTGGCAAACGCATTTGTAAATGTCCTAGGTAAGCTCTCCCTTTATTAAAGACATGGCAAATTAAATTAATGACCACTGTTGTTTTTCATTCATTCAGCAGAAATATATTAAGCAGCTACTAGGCACTGGCACAGAACTTGGAGCTGTAAGGGATATACAAAGATGGATAAGATACACACCTTGCCCTAAGGGAAATTACAGTCTGGCCTTAACGTTCTTTTATAACCTGGTTTTTACAATGGCAAATTCCTCATTGTAGGGATAATCAAAGTGGCTGCTCTGTTCATAGACAGTTGCATTGTGTCCAACCCCTCAAAAGGAAAAGAGCATAGGTCTGCTCTTCCTAACTGAATGTGATTGCTTGTTCCATCCTTAGAAACTGACAAGTTGAATGACAATTTCATGATTCTGATTTTTGAAAGTAAGTCATTAATCATAATGTTTGGCCGTGACCTAAGTCACGATGTACATTTATTTAGTAATTCATAACAATATGTTTAGGAAACAGTGACATAAACATATTCTGAAAGAGTTGGGTTTGTGTGAACATTGTATTTCTCATATGGGACAAAACTACTAAAATACCAAATTTGTTAAGAATTTATGTGAGAATTGTTTTCATGATGCCGGGGAATTATCTTTCACCTCTGTAAGTGGAGTAGGTTCCCTTTCAAACAAAATTAGGGTCAGGAAGCCAACCAATATGTGGTATTTTTTCCTTCGTACTTGAAATGAAGGTCAGTAAATCACAGGAAGAGCTGAGCCATTAAGATGTTGATGGAGGGACAGGAAGCAGTTTTGATTCTGGTGCTGTTTTGAGTCATCAGCGTTCTGCTTTTTTTCTGGCGGCTTGGATGTTCGCCACCACTCCCCCCCAACCCACCTCCGTTATTACCCCGAGGTTCTGATGGGCCAGTCATCCAACAAAAATGTATTTGGCCATTATTTTTTGTGCCAGACACTGTGCTGGTTTATGGGGAGAAAATAAAAAGTCCCATTCCCTGCCTGCAAGGAGCTCACAGTGTAGTTGGAGTGATAGATAAAGAAATCAGTTATTAAAATACTGTGCCTGATTAACATGCAGGATGTGAGGCAGAGGGAGGAAACGTATTTTTCCACTTTGAGTGACCGGCAGCGTTATACTTGCCTGAGAACATAAGGGGAGAGATACATTGGCTGTGCCTTAACATAAATTCTAATGGCCTGAAAAAAATATAATAAAATACAGGTGGGCCTAAGTCTTTATTTTATTTTAATATTTACTTTACCTTTCCAAAACGTTTTTAGCTGAGCCACCACGAATCCTTACGTCTGCAGACACGCTCTATCAAGTCATTGCAAACAGGCCTGCTTTACTAGACTGTGCCTTCTTTGGGTCTCCTCTACCTACCATTGAGTGGTAAGTAGTGGCCATATCTGTTTGTCATATTTACATTTGCCAAAGCCTTCAAATTTCTCAATACGTGGGGTTTTAGTCAGAGAACAGACAGGAAAAAGGCAGTGCAGAAGCCATCATCCTATTAATTATTAAATGTGTTCACAAATATTTATTAACGACTCACTCTGTGGTAAATACTGTCACATGGATGATCTCTTTGGCAGCACGCTTTGTCCATCCCAGAGGTATATGTAAATGTTTTTGAAAAAAATTAAAGTGGCTGTATGTTGCAGTGCTACGGACATCACCCGGGACGTCATGAATGGTGGCTAGAGGGACGGGTTGGGGGACACTCCTTGCTAATAAAATATCATTTGGGGCGGGCGCGGGGTCCATAAGCTTAAAAAGCAGAATTTGCTATTACCAGTGTTCCTCTCCCACTGAGTGTCCTGGCTTGGATCCAGCCAAGCGCCCCTGTATCCTTTCACTCCCTCTTCCGACCATCCCTTTTCACGTACCACTCGTGGTACGAGTCCTGCCACCCTCCCAGCTTGCTTTAGCATGAGCTGAAAGAGGCAAGGCCAGGGGAGGCAGCAGCTCAGAAAGAATGAGTGAAAGAAAATTGGAACATTCATTTATGGATTGTCTATCAGGTGCCAGACACTATGTGGGGCTCCACTTCCTGGTGTGAGATCAAAGCCAGGAGTAGGATGAAAGCCCAAACACGGATGCTTGTGCAGAAAATTTCCTAGCAAAGGAGATGGATTAACGCTTAGTTTCACACGGCTTTTCATCCATCCTCACTTCTCCCTTCTGACACTAACCTGGAAGCTCAACGTGAACATACTTTACATGCATACTTTCTTCTCCTTCCCTGAATATTTTCCCATTTATACTCTCAAAAGTACAACCCTTGTAACCTTGAAGTCAGAATCTCTTTAGAATTGTAACGTGTAGATGGAGTTAAAGACATCACAGTAGGGGGGAAAGGTCAAAAAGAGCAGTCTTCATTGTGTCTATTTTATTACTTATTAGAGATAAAATAGGTTAATGATGTGTTTATTAAGTTATGAATCTCTCATAATGAAAATTACAAATTGTTTTGTCTTGTCCTCCTAATTCTTCAAGCACCATTTATCGCTGAATTCTCCAGTTTGACATCTGTCTTTGCATTAACCCCCCTGATTTACAAGCATGCAATATGCTTGTGCAGCTTCCAGACGTCTCTGATCTTGATACTGTAGTGCAGATCATGTGGTGTGTTGGACCTTGAACAGGGCATTTCATGTCTGACTTCAAATTATAACATTTTTATTCCTGTTTGTGATCATTTTCATAATGAAGGTTTAAAGGCGCTAAAGGGAGTGCCCTTCGTGAAGATATCTATGTTTTACATGAAAATGGAACTTTGGAAATTCCTGTGGCCCAGAAGGACAGTACGGGAACTTATACATGTGTTGCAAGGAATAAGTTAGGAATGGCGAAGAATGACATTCACTTAGAGATCAAAGGTGAGGCAGAGGTGACAAACATTTTTTCAGTATTATGAGACTTTGAGCAAATTCTCCAGCTTTTTAAAAAAAAAATTTACTTTATTGAAGTATAGTTGATTTACACTGTTGGGTTAATTTCTGCTGTACAGCAAAGTGATTCAGTTATACATATATGCATTCTTTTTCATATTCTTTTCCATTATGGTTTATCACAGGACATAGAATATACTTCCCTGTGCTGTACAGTAGGACCTTGTTGTTTATCCATTGTATATGTAATAGTTTGCGTCTGCTAACCCCAAACTCCCAATCCTTCCCTCCCCCACCCTCCTTCCCCCTTGGCAACCACAAGTCTGTTCTCTATGTCTTGATTCAGTTAAATTCTCCAGTTTTGGCAATGGATAATGGTAACTTTCCATTTCAGATCCAACGAGGATCATTAAACAGCCTGAATATGCAGTTGTGCAAAGAGGGAGCACGGTGTCCTTTGAATGCATAGTGAAACACGATCGCACTTTAATCCCCACCGTCACGTGGCTAAAGGACCACAGGGAGCTACCCAGTGACGGAAGGTATTTGAAGACAATTTCTTTCCTTTCTCTTCCTTCTCTCTTTAAGCTGCTCCTGAACTAAAGGTTTATTGTACAGTAACTTAATGGTTATGTTTTTAAAGTTTCTGAAGTCTGCTCTCTCTCCAAAGTAGATATACATTTTCTCTTCATGCTATAGAATATTTGGACCTAAAAAGGTATCAAGTTATAGAAATAAGACCCTGAGAATGTCTGTCTTTGTGTTGGTCTCCTGTGTAATTCAGGATGTGAAAAACCTTTCAGGTCTTGAACAACATCCATTGTTTTCTAACTTGTACGGTGCACTCTCAACAGATGTTTTCATTCTCACTTTACAAATAAGCAGAAATACGATCTCTTTCATCATCAGAGTGAGCCTGAATCTTCGTCAGTATTTTACAGGACACTAGTTTTTATTTGGATGGGGAGTTTTCATTTTACCTAAAGCGAGTAGAATGAGGAGAAGAAAAAAACACAGGTAAAGAATTTGAAAGAGCCTGAGCACATTGCATTCCTTTAGCTTGGTATGAAAGAAAGGTCATGCCCATTTTCCAGTTGAGGCTCTCGATTTGACAAAGTACACAGAGTCAAAGATGAGAATTTTTGCTGATGCAGAGGGGCACAGGCATCACCCCGACAGGAAGGAGTGTTGTCTGCTGGTTTCTGTGGCTTCTTTCAATTGTGCCCAAATGGTGCCCTGTTGCTTGTAAATTTCCCTTAAAAGAACTCTGTGGGAATTTGGGATTAACGATACACACTACTATATATAAAATAAACAACAAGGGCCTACTGTATAGCACAGGGAACTATATTCAATAGCCAGTAATAACCTATAACGGAAAAGAATCTGAAAAAGAGTATTATGTATATATATATAACTGAATCACTTTGCTGTATACCTGAAACATTGTAAATCAACTATAGTTCGATTAAAAAATAATAAATAATAATTAATATCAGATTATTTTAAAATGCACACTTTGTTAGAAATTGAACCAGATGAGTGGTAGCAGCAGAAGCCTAGGAAAGCCCTCTGTTCAGGGTAACTGGAGCTGCCCCCAGCTCAGCTCTAGATGCCCCTGGTCTTAAGGAAGCTCCTATAAATCCAGAGGCGTGGTTGAAAGCCATCAGACTAAATGACTTGACATCATTTCTAACCCAAGCTTCTCACTCATTCAAAACGTTTTCCAACTTTACTCATTATCAAAGTGGCATGTATCGTATAGGATTTTAGCTCTAATGTGCTGCAAATCTTTATCATCTTTCCCTTTTACCGAGTTCACAGTTGCTTTCTTGCCAGTAAAACCGTCATTGGGTGTGGTGGGATGTCCACTCCAGCCGCTTTGAGCGTGTGATAATTACAGGTTCACTATTGACAAGGACCATTTGGTGGTCGCTGATGTCAATGATGACGATGGTGGGACCTACACGTGTGTGGCCAACACAACTCTGGACAACGTTTCGGCCAGTGCTGTGCTCAGCGTTGTCGGTAAGAGCTAGAACACATACAGCACAACTGGCTGCCCTGTTTTAGGTTGAAAGGACAAATTGTCAGTAGTAACTGTTTGCTTGTTACAGTTTTAGCATTTTATAGGTGAGTTAAATACCCACATCTCTCTTCTTTGAAAGATGCCTTTGAGGCAGTAATTTCAGTATAAATGTACTCTGTAGCAACACTGCAATAAAACGGTGGTTAAGCACATTAGTGATATTTTTATGAGAAAACTGGTGGGGAAATGATCTACCTTTATTTAAAATCGAAGGGGTTTTCCCCCTATGTTGTTACTGCATGTTTATCAGTGCTGTGTCTCACAGCTAAGCATAAGGCTCAGTTTTATAATCTTAATCACGCTCAGTCTTTGTCTTCTTGTGCTATCTTATATCTGTCCACTACTAATTTTGATTAAACTCCTTTATATTACTGTCCTTTCTAGCTCCCACTCCAACTCCAGCTCCCATTTACGGTAAACTAATATGAGTTCTTTTCTCTGTTTTCTTTCAAACAATTTCACGTGTACAGAAGAAGTCCATTACTTTCTTTTCTCTATCATGTCATTGTGTTTCTTTAATGAAAAGGGCTCTGTCAGGTGTTCTGCCGTGTTGTCCATTTACTGCTATAAATCATCTCTTCATTATAATTCTGGAACTTTTCACTGAATATATTGCCACTCGCTTCCAAGTATTTCATGTGTTATTGCAAAGTCATTTCATTTGCTAAAAGTCCCTCTTTGACAGCATTTCCTTGTAAAGTAGCATAGTGCTTTTTCAAAAGCTATCATCCATATTTTACAGACTGAAAAAGCAATTTCAAATATCATTTCACAACTTAGGTTTTCATTTCAATCTACTAAAAGTTGTTCTGGAGCTTCCCTGGTGGCGCAGTGGTTGAGAGTCCGCCTGCCGATGCAGGGGACACGGGTTCGTGCCCCGGTCCGGGAAGATCCCACATGCCGCGGAGTGGCTGGGCCCGTGAGCCGTGGCCGCTGAGCCTGCGTGTCCGGAGCCTGTGCTCCACAACGGGAGAGGCCACAACAGTGAGAGGCCCGCGTACCACAAAAAAAAAAGAAAAAAAAAAAAAGTTGTTCCGGAAAGCTAAATGTTGTTTGGGGATTCCATTTTCAAGAAATTTACATAGGAAAACAATGGATGAATGGATGCTTAGTACAACATTTGACCTTTCTATCAAAGAAAACCACCAACTCACTGTGTTCACAGAAGATAAATCACTAAAGAAAGATGAAAAGGAGAACACTTTCACGTCGCATGATTTTTCTGAGTCGGGAAGTTAAATCAGTTTTTTTCCCGAAATCTTTTTAATTAAAGAACCTTCATGTTTATTCAACATATAAATACAAAAATTAATTTTGTGGTGAAAACTCAGCTGGATGTTAAATAGTATTATGAATTATGCTGTACAAGTCCTGTCCTTTGTAGACATTTACTGCTTCTTTACTGGTAGGAAAGAAGTGCTCATATTTTTCTATGGCCTCTGGTTCCCCCAAGAGCCAGAGTTACTGCCAAGAGCAAGGTCAGGAAAAGACCCAGGGGGAACATTAACTCTCTAGATCTCAGAAGCTCCATTAGAAGAGGCAGACATGCACCTCAGACACCTTCGTCCCACCAGGCATCGGTACCCTGGTGTCCTCTGAGGATAAACACACCTCCCTGTGTGCCTGACTGACTTGTACTGAGCATCCACATAAGGTTGCATGCCGAGGGCTACCTGCATAGCATCAATTTTAGAATTCCCTTAAAAATATAAATATTCTTCAGGAGCCCCCAAATCTGTAATGTAGCATGTTTCAGAAAGAACACTTGCATCTTCTTTTAATAGTATGTACATCTGCCTGTATTTGTTTTTCAGCATTTCCTATTCTGTTTCCCATTTATTAGAAATTCAGCTTCCGTATTATTTTTTCTGTTTGTGCTCCTCTGTTTATGAGAAGACATGCACTGAGAGTGCTGGAGAACCATACATGTCCTCCCCTGGCTTTGGTGACAAGGGATTTAGTTTCATTTCAAAGAGAAGCAAGCAGAGCTCATTGAGGGGTTCTCTTGGGTGTGCGTGTGTGTTCCCAGCAGCCTCAGCTGTTTTCATTTCCTTTCAGTTGCATGCTCACTGGCCATTACGTGTGCTGTGTCTTTAAAAGTCCCCTCCAAGAATAGTATCATGAGTAAAGGAGAACGTCCTAAGGTCGGGTGGTTAACTATGATGTGTGTGTTTGGTCTACAGATGTCCCAAATCCTCCCTTTGACTTAGAATTGACGGATCAACTAGACAGGAGTGTTCAGCTGTCATGGACCCCAGGCGATGACAACAATAGCCCTATTACAAGTATGTGGTGTCATTTGCTTTTTCACTGATAAACTTAATGATTATTTTCAAAGCACTGTATCCCATGTAATTGAAATTCCTTGCAAAAGATATTTGATGGCATTCTCTGCTTCATTGCTAATAGAGTCAAAACAGTTATTTATGTTCTGTTATTCAGAGCTAGAGTTATTCCTGGTTACAACTTATGGTTTGGGACACTAATTAATTGCTGAAGATGTTAATTAAGCAAATACACTATCATTTTGTGTTTAAGATCCATAAGAATCACCTTCAGTTTCTACCACAGTAGGAAGATGTATTGCAAGTTATTCATTTTGCCCATTAATATAGGAGAAAACAATAGAAGGACCAGTCTAGCTATTAGGAAATTGAGACTTGGTGAGTAAAGTGCCTTTTCAAACGCACAGTTGTTAACAGAACTGGGGGTAGACATCAGGTCTCTTTCTTTCCATCAGCCCTGGCTACAAAGTGGCACAGTCATCAATGTCACCTCCTCACCCTGATGACATCAGCTTAGAGAATAAAATCAGGTGAGGGACCATGCTATAAGGGTACTGGAAGAGCTTAGTAAAATTAGACTGTAGATAAGCTTATAAGTTTTAAAACCAAAAAGATACTTAAGAGAGTAGACACAAGTCTGTAATATATTACTACCTTCAGGTATATACTGCAGGAAGACTAAATTTCTTTCCAGTGATGACCTAAGTTACTGCTGAAGTGATGTGTGTGTTGATTTGTTGCACCTGCTGGTAAAGCAGACTAGATCCAATGAAATTAAACCAAAGCGTCCTCTCTATCTTGTGTTCTTTGGTGGTGTTCCTTTCTCAGTGGAGTTTTTGGTCCTTGATCAGAACATGCATTCATTCATGCTGAATCTTCCAGTTAATTCAGTACATTAGCCAGATTTAGCTGGTGAGAATGCTTGGAGACTCTAATCTTTACCCATGTTAAAATGATACCATTAGATTTCAAGGCATTTCTACTCTGTCGTTTGTTCATTCATTCAACAGACATTTATTGAGTACCTATTATGTACCAGGCATTCTTCTAAAACAAAACAGTCAAAAATCTCTGCCCATTTGAAGTTTATATTTTAATTGAGGACACAAATAAGATAAAATTAATACATGTTATGTTATTGTGTATAATGTCATTATATATATGTATATATGTGTGTGTGTGTGTGTGTGTGTATATATACATATATATACACACACACACACACACACGCACACACACACACACTACTCAGATCTCCTTTTAAGAGAGAACGCACTACAAGGAATGTCAACAACAGGCTCCATCTGCTGCCCCCTCCCTGGGGATCAGCTGCAGCATTCCCATGAGGCCCCTCTCTTCCTGAGCTAGTCCAGGGACTGAGCACAGCGAGGGTCCTAGATTCAGCCATGCCTCCTGCAGAACTTCACTCTGGGGCTCCTTGCTGACCTGGCTGAATCTATCTGTATTGGAGTCTGAGGCTTTTTCCACACACACCTCCTTTGCCTCTCCTTTCTCAGACGTCAGACCTGCGTTACGGTCTGAAGATCTTCCCTGCCGTCTCCTGCTTTCTCTCTCTTTTATCTTCCATGGACTCGTTCCCAAATAAATCTCCTACACATTTAGTTCTATGTCTGCATCTGCTTCTAAGAGGAGTCAAACACACATATATCTATACGCATGGTTATGTGTGTGTCCATGTTCAGGCCATGCAAAGAACAAAGCAGGAGAAGGATAGTAGAGTATGAGGGTTGGGTATAATTACAAACAGGGTGGTCAGGAAAGGCCACCTTAAGAAGGTAACATTTGTATGCAAAACAGTATGGAGGTTCCTTAAAAAACTGAAAATAGAGTTACCAGATGATCCAGCAATCCCACCCCTGGGCACATATCCAGGAAAAATGAAAGCTCTAATTCAAAAAGATACATGCATCCCAAAGTTCATAGTGGCACTGTTTACAATAGCCGAGACACAGAGGCAGCCTAAGTGTCCATCAACACATGAACGGATAAAGAAGATGTGGTACATATATACAGTGGAATACTACTCAGCCATAAAAAAGAATGCAATCATGCCATTTGCAGCAACCTGGATGGACCTAGAAAGTATCATACTAAGTGAAGTAAGATGGAGAAAGACCAAATATTATATGATATCCCTTATATGTGGAATCTAATAAATAGTGCAAATGAACTAATTTATAAAGTAAAAATAGACCTATAGACATAGAAAACAAACTTATGGTTACCAAAGGGGAAGCGGGGGAGGAATAAATTAGGAATTTGGGATTAACAGATGTGCACTACCAAACAAGGATTTACTGTATAGCACAGGGAGCTATATTCAATATATTGTAATAAACTCTAAAGGAAAAGAATGGGGAAAAAGAATATAGTTATGCACATTTATTTATGTATAACCAAATCACTTTGCTATACGCCTGAAACTAACACAGTACTGTGAATCAACTATACTCCAATTTAAAAAAATAATAAATTTTTAAAAAGAACGTAACATTTGAGTATGTCAATAAAGACATGAGGAGGGAGGTAGTGAACACACTATGCAGTTAACTGAAGGAGGACCTTTCCAGGGAGAGCAAGAAAAACAGCAAAGCCCCTGAGACAGGAGCATGTCTCTCGGAAGCCCCTGTGGCTGGCTGGAGTGAAATGAACAAGAAGAAGTGAAGTAGGAGAGAAGGTCAAAGAGGCAAAGAGTTGGTGGGCGGAGTGGGATGTGCACTGTGCAGGGCCTTGTGGGCCCTTGTAGGGGTTGGGAAGGAATTGGAGGGATTTAAGTAGAGCAGTGGTCCCCAGTCTTTTTGGCACTAGGGACTAGCTTCGTGGAGGCCGGTTTTTCCACGGAGGGGGAGGGGGGGATGGTTCAGGCAGTAATGTGAGCCATGGTTCAGACAGTAATGCAAGCGATGGTTCAGGTGGTAATGTCAGCAATGGGGAGCGGCAGATGAAGCTTCACTCGCTCGCCTAACAAGCCTAACAAGCCACGGACCAGTATCGGTCCACAGCCCGGGGGTTGGGGACCCCTGAAGTAGAGGAATGGATCACACTGGCTATTCTATTGAAAATGGTCTAGAGAGGAACAAGAGGGAGAGTGGGGAGACCCGGCAGGACTACAGTTCTCAAACCATGTGTTGAAATACCATACAGAACGTCAGCAAACCTCAGAGGTGCCTCCGGATATTAAGTTTTTGATTTCTAAATTTTGGTTTTTATTTTTTTTATTTAATTTTATTTTGGGGCTGAGTTGGGTCTTCATTGCTGCGCACGGGCTTTCTTTAGTTGTGGTGAGCAGGGGCTACTCTTCCTTGTGGTGCGCAGGCTTCTCATTGCGGTGGCTTCTCTTGTTGTGGAGCACGGGCTCTAGGCGTGCAGGCTTCAGTAATTGTGGCTCATGGGCTCTAGAGCGCAGGGGCTCTAGGGCGCAGGCTCAGTAGTTGTGGCACACGGGCTTAGTTGCTCCACAGCATGTGGGATCTTCCTGGACCAGGGCTCGAACCCGTGTCCCCCCTGCATTGGCAGGCGGATTCTTAACCGCTGAGCCACCAGGGAAGCCCCAAAATTTTGGTTTTTGAAAAACACAGTGACATCTCTCAGACACCCCATGAAATACTAGCTGGAGGCAGTTCACAGTTTCAATATTGATAGTGCTACATCACACTGTGACAGCGTCATATCTCTGCAAAGCCTTTGTGGTGATAAAAAGCAAGTACCATGTGAAAATAAGTGTGAAACAGGAAATGAGGAAGGTGGTGTCAAATCTGTTTACAAGGTTGGACAAGTTATGCGGTGCCCAGTAGATTTTAAGACATAAACACTTATTAGATTATATAGACCTAACTCCTTAATACACAGAAATGTTAGGTATTTCTTCTGACCTAAGGAAGCCATGAAAAAAATTACTGAGACACTAAGCACACCATGAACTAAGAAAGTTTGGGAACTTGTGAGCTAGGAGGTTATGCAATAATTCTCACAAGAGATCTTGGTGACCTGGAATAGGCTTATAGGGATGGAGGAGCTGAGAAATGGTAAGCTGAGATTTTGAATATATTTTAAAGGTACAGCCAACAGGTCTATTGAGAGTAAGAGAAGGAGAGAGCCAAGAAGGCCTTCAAGGTTTTGACCTGAGTTGTTACTACCAGTTGGGGTGAAGAGCAAGATGAGTCTTGGTCACATCCAATTTGAGATGCTGTACTAGACAAACAAGTGGAATTCTTGAGTAGGCAATTAAGTATCCAAGTCTGCAGTTCCAGGGGGAGATAGGGGCTGAAGATATAAATGTGAAGGTCATCAGTTTATGAAACTGGAGATCACCAACAAATTAACATAGGTTAGAAGGAGAACTCTAAGTGCTGAGCTTCCGAGCAATGCAACACATATTCCTAGTTCATCTTTGTACCTTTAATTCATATCATGGTACATGGCATGTAGTAGGCAATTAATGAATATCTAAGTACCTATTTTTTGCAGTTTTTTATTGAAGTATAGTTGATTTACAATGTTGTATTAGTTTCAGGTTTACAGCAAAGTGATTCAGTTATACATGTATTTTCTTGACATTCTTCTTCTTTATAGGATATTACAAAATATTGAGCATAGTTCCTTCTGCTATACAGTAGGTCCTTGTTGGTTATCTCTTTTATATATGGTAGTGTGTATATGTTAATCCCAAGGTCCTCATTTATCCCTCCCCCTACCTTTCTCCTCTGGTAACCGCAAGTTTGTTTGCTGTGTCTGTGGGTCTATTTCTGTTTTGTATATAAGTTCATTTGTATCATTTTCTTTTAGATTCCACATACATGCAATATCGTATGATATTTGTCTTTCTCTGCCTGGCTTACTTCTCTTAATATGATCATCTCTAGTCCATCCATGTTGCTGCAGGTGGCATTATTTCATTCTTTTTATGGCTGAGTAATATTCCATTGTATGTATGTGCAACATCTTCTTTATCCATTCATCTGTCGATGGACATTTAGGTTGCTTCCGTATCTTGGCTTATTGTACATAGTGCTGCAATGAACATTGGGGTGCATATATCGTTTCAAATAGATACTTATGTTTTGCAAGGGTAAAACATGTACATACCACAAAATTTTAATAGAGACAAGAGGGTAGGTATGCACTGGAGAGTAAGTCTTCCTCCCACCCCTGATTCTCAATTCCTCCGGTGACACCAGTGTTAACAGTGTGTATCCTCCAAGAGGTAACACATGTGCTTTCAAGCGTATGTGTATGTGTATATGTTATAGTAAATCTTTTTATTTTTATACAACTGTAGTATCCAGCACACACTGGATTATGTTCTAAACCCTACTTGGTTTCACTTAACAATATATTTTAGAAATCATTCTGTTTCAGTACATGTGGAGCAGCCCTATTCATTTTTTACAGCTGCAGAATATTCCATTGTGTAGATGCATCATAATTTATTTAATCAGTGTCCTATTGATGAACATTTAGGTTCATCAGTGTCCTATTGATGAACAATTGTTTGCAATTAGGTTGTTTCAGCTGCAAACAATGCTGCCATGTGGACTCTTTTTCATGTACCTTCGAACATATGCGTGAGCACATTTATTCAAAATTAATTGCTGGAAGCACAATTTCTGAGTCAAAGGGTCTCTGAGTTAAATATTGTTAGATGTTCTAAATTGTCCTCTATAGAAGTTGTACCAATTTACACTTCCCACAGAGTATGAGAATGCTTGTTTCCCTGTGTCATAGTTCGCAAAGTGTGTTAAACATTTGATTGTTGCCAGTCTGTTTGGTGGGAAAAGGTATCTCTCTGTATTTCACGTAACATCTCCTGTTAGGAAAAAATCAATCATCTTTTCGTATGTTTAAACTTTCCTAGGAATATGTGGGTCACTTCTAAACAACTTTAAGGAGCTAAACTCAGCATGCTAGAGAAAGCATACTCTTACTGGATTTGCTTCAGTGTTGAGGACACTAGGCTTCTGAAATCAAAATATTCTAGTGAATTTTTCTTGAAAGTGAGATAATTCATGTTCAGCTGCTCTTGTTAGATTGTCCTGTTTGTTATCCTCGCAACCTACCATTGGCTGACTGAATTCATGTCTTGGATTTGTTGTATGTGTGTGGTGTGGCCAGAATTCATCATTGAATATGAAGATGCAATGCATGAGCCGGGGCTGTGGCATCACCAAACTGAAGTCCCTGGAGCTCAGACCACAGCCCAGCTGAAGTTGTCGCCCTATGTCAACTATTCCTTCCGAGTGATGGCAGTAAACAGCCTGGGGAGCAGCTTGCCCAGCGAGGCATCTGAGCAGTATTTGACTAAAGCTGCAGGTAAAGCACGACTTCTGTGATATGAAATAAAATAGAAGGGTTTTCCACTGTTTGCAAGAGACCAAAGTTTACGAGTATGTATGTGACTGTTTAACTTCTAGAACCAGATAAAAATCCCACGGCTGTGGAAGGGCTGGGATCAGAGCCGGATAATTTGGTGATTACGTGGAAGGTGAGCTATGTCTGAAATATTCAACTATATTTTAGAGTGGAAAGAAAAGTTGTTTTTAAATAATACCTGTATTAAAATCCCCTTTCACACATTTTTGGAATATATACATATATCATATATTTAAAAGCTTGATCCTTGGAGCCAAAATGAATGGTACAAATCCCAGCTTTGCCACTTAATAACTGTGTGACTTTAAGGCATTTCTTTAACATCTCTACTGTGTATCTGTGTGATGGGAATAACAGTGAACCAACCTCATAAGATTAAAGGAGTTAATACACTTACAACGCACTTAGAACGGTGCCTGTCACATAGAATGTGCTCAATAAATTCTAGCTTGTGTTGTCACCACCGTAGAGAACCATCTAGAAGACAGGTGCCAGTAGTCAACGTGTACTTTTTTCTTTTTGGCCTGTCTCTATTTTCTGGACTTGGCAAATTAATATATATGTACTTGTATGATTTTAAAACTTATTTTAGATAGATCCATACATCCATACTTAGTTACATACATGTTTGTATATACTTAGATACATACATGCCTGTAGAAACAGGATAGAATGACAAGCCAATCTCTTTTTCTTTTTAAAGAAAGTAGTAGTTCACAATTTCAGTCTCCAAGTAAAATGGACAGTGAGGTGCTGTCACACACCCAGGAACACATAAAGGAAACTGTGTACGAGGAAAGTTTTATGTCACCTACCCATGACTGTAGAGCCAGAGTCTGAGAGGCCTAGGTGGTTTTTACTACTTGGAGATAGAAATTAACCACCTTTGAAATGTTGATCCCAAACAAGCTGTGGATCTCATCACAGGTGAAAGAAAAAGGACAAAAGTTCCCTGGAGAAAATTGTTCATAGCTTGTACTTTAGTGGCGCAGTGCTCACCGTCTTTAAGTCTGGGAATTGAATTTGCCGTTCCAGTAAGAGATGGCACCGCTGATCTGTTTTATAAGCTCTGATGGTCTGGCTTTTCTTGTAGCCCTTGAATGGTTTCGAATCTAATGGGCCAGGCCTTCAGTACAAAGTTAGCTGGCGCCAGAAGGATGGTGATGATGAATGGACGTCTATGGTTGTGGCAGATGTATCCAAATACATTGTCTCGGGCACCCCGACCTTTGTCCCATACCTGATCAAAGTTCAGGCCCTGAATGACGCAGGCTTTGCTCCAGAGCCAGCTGTGGTCCTGGGACATTCTGGAGAAGACCGTAAGTGCCTGATGCTATTTCATGTCTATTTTCCCCCAGCAAAACAGACTTACCAAAGTGCAAGTCAAGGCCATGTCCAGAGGTGCTGAGATTGGGAGGGAGGATGGGAGGCAGCCATGATTTCGCTCAACATTTCTGCATCTAAACAGCCTGCCACATAGAAAATAGGTTCAGCGTGTTAAAAGTTATTACTTTTTAAAAAGATATGCTGTTCTCACAAAGTCAAATGAACAGAGCTCAAAAAAAAAACAAACCCATCTATTCTCCATCATTGATAATACATAGAATCAGGCTGTGGCATGTTTCAAGCCAAAATTAGGAGACGGTGACATTTTTTGCATGAAATTCAAAATGACATTGATCCTTCTACCCCCCCTTTCTCATCTTTC